AGACGGGGGGGGGGGGGGCAAAAAGAATAAGTGTACAAAAACCCTGGTAGGACCTGAATCCGGCTAAATTGTGTTGTCACCCAATTGGCCTCAAATCAGCAAGATCATGTGACACGTATGTTATGTCTGCAGCACCCCCGGGCCAGGATTCTTGCAGGCAGACACGCTGGGTGCTCGGCTGTTGTCTGTACATATAATTACATACAGTGTAGGAAGATGATCCCATTGTCTGCAGTGATGTGTTTTATGAGCAGGATTATCCAGAGTGCTGTACCTCGTAGCTTCCCGCTAATTACACCCTCAATGTGTCCCAAACACCGCTAATTATATTACTCAACATGCACACGTTACAAACCATTTTTTTTGTGTGTGATTTTGCGTCTCCTACTTTTAGTAACTAGATTTCCATTGGCTAAAACAAAACAGCTGAAACCTAAAAACATCCACCAAATGTGCACAAAAAAAAAAAGCTTCAAAATTGCCTGAAAAGGGGGCTGAACTCCGGGATCAGCAAATATTGTCCTCATACAAGAGTCATGTGTATTCTTCCTGAATCTCTGTGAGCTTTGTGTATTTCTTCCAGATCTGTGCAGTAATCCCGTGTGACACTTGCAGCTTCCTGTAATAAAGACCAGTCACTGCTGCTCTCTCTCCTTGTGCGGTTGACTGGTCTTGTCTCCGCCCCTTCTGTAATAAAGACCGGTCACTGCTGCTCTCTCTCCTTGTGCAGGGTGACTGGTCTTGTCTCCACCCCCTCCTGTATTAGACTAGTCACTGCTGGTCTCTCTCCTTGTGCAGGGTGACTTGTCTTGTCTCCGCCCCTCCTATAGTTTTCTGCAGACAGCCTGCAGTGGGTGGAGCCTGCTGGACCCTCCCACTGCTCTACTTTCTGCACATGCTACTTTACAAGGAAATGTTTGCAAGTTGATTTATATCCTTTGTAACCATGGAATGTAGTTCAACGAAAATGTATGTGGCCGTGGTTCAGCTTTAACAGGACATCTAGACATGCACTGAAAATCCAGTCACACAGTGCGGGGGGAGGGGGGGCTGGACTTTGCTTTCATTTCTGTGTGCATCCTAAGGTATTAGCATTTTTGGGTTCCTGGGTCTAATTTCTTTCAAGAACCAGAATGCTATCTGCATGAGTATGTTATCCCTGTGTCTGTGTGGGTGTCCTCACCATAGTCTGGAAACATTTTGGCTTCCACTAGTATGTACTTGTACGGTTGTAGATTGTATGCACTTCGAGGGGAAGGACAGATGTGACTGGTCTGTTATGTGTATAATAAATCGGTATCCGTGTGTGTTCTCCGTCCTCCGCAGAGGCTCCGGGGATGATTGCCCTTTGGTAATTGATTGTTACGTAGTTGCGGCGGAGCGCTCTTTCCAGGAATCGCAATGACGGATTCATGTAAACGCATTGGTCAGTCGGTGCGCAGTCCCCGTGGTAAGAATCTGGTCTGTGTGTTGGGAGGTGACGGGCAGATTCTTTGTGTTGGCTTGGTGACAGCTGCAGCTAGAACTGTAATATAAGATCCCATATGAGGAATGTATAGTCACGGGATGTATGTATCTGTTTCTGCGTGCTCTGCACATTCATCCCTCACCCGCCAGTCTCTCCAATATTTGATACCTTTTATTTAATAATAAGCCATTTCAGAGATCATTATCCGTACGCATTAAGAGCTGAGAAGGTTTTCAGTTAGGAACAATCAGCATAGTTATTGTGGGTAAGTGCCGGGCTGGACAAATCCCAGAGCCGGGTTGTCAATGCTCCTTACAAATGACAGCTGGCGCCAAGCTTTTGAGGTATTCTCTAGTTGTTGTCAATGGACCTGGCGCCTAAAAAGAAACAAAAAATCATGCAGCCTCCTGGACTGCACAGACTGGCTTCTAAGGGCTCATTCACACTGCTAAGAGCCGGCCCGTACAGATCCATGCGGCGTGCACGGCCGTATCGGGCCGCTCCCGGGAGTGTGTGTGTGTGTAGGTGGAGTACGTGGCCGTAAGCTCACTCGAACTGCACATCCGTGCGGGTGTCCATACTCAGACGAGATGGATCCTGTCTGCGTCCGAGTACGGACACCTGCACCCACACGGATGTACAGCTCGAGTGAGCGTACGGCGGCGTACTCCCATAGAGAAGGAGAGGGTCTGCGTACAAATCACACTCGGCACCTGTCCTTCCCGGGAGCGGCCCGATACGGCCGTGCACGTCGCACGGATCTGTGCAGGCCAGCATGTAGCTGTGTGAATGAGGCCTAAATTCCATGTTGGTTTGTTCACCTCCTAGGGTAGGGCATTCTCCACTTTCCGCTATTAAAGTGGACCGGTCATTAAATTCACACATAAAGCCAAAAGCTGTCCTATCAATTTATATTATCAAGTCACTTTCTTGCTTTGAGTCTGGAATGACCTATTGTCTGCACATGAATTGGATACCAACTGAATGGATAGTATATAGGATTATGGGGATTATACAGAGTTTATATAATTAGAGTATAACCTGTACAGCCACCTTATCTGAATATGTGAGCAACATTTGGGGAGAGGGCGCAACTGCACATTGTATTGTGGCTAACCACCTAGGCATTGACAGCACTTATGTCTTGCAGCACTGGGGGGAAAACCAAGGGTCACCGGCACTCCAAGACTGTTCATTAATAAGCCTTTATTGAGACAATACTCATAATAGAGAACAGCGATGTTTTCGGGGGTCACATAGGGTCCCCTTCATCAGACAAAACAGTGACCATCACACTATTGCTGTTATGAATCAATCAAGACGTATCAATCAACAGTCTTGGAGTGCCAGTGACCCTTGTGCTTCTTGCATTGAGCGGCACCATCCATTTGCCACCACAGCACCCACCAGTCCTCGGGGACTTATCGGTTAGGAGTGCAATGGGCTTTGAACATGAATCTGATTGCAGAACTGGGGTTCTCCATTTGAATCTCGGGCAGGACACTATCTGCATGGGGTTTGCATGTTCTCCCTGTGTTTGTGTGGGTTCTATCCAGTTGCTCAGGTTTTCTCCCACACTCCATCAGCATGGTGGTAGGTTGCAGTCTAAATTGGCCCTCATGTATGTAAGATAAGGACCCTAGGTGCAGAGACTGATGTGAATGTGCAATATTTAAAGCGCTGTGTAGATTGTCAGCGCTATACAAAACCTGTAGTACATAAAATAGGACGTGGCCGGTCTAGGTCTACATAAAAATTGTGCTGATCTAGATCACTGCTCATGGAGAAAGGAGCAAGGTATGGTGTCCCCTACTATTGTGCGAGTGGATGCGGTTTGATGTTGAATTGTTGATGTCTCAGGCTTTTCTTTGACCGCATTGTCTGTCTGTTTTTAGGGTCCCCAGTGCTGCTGGTCACACCAAGGGAATCCTTCAGCAAGAGGTGAGTCTTTCTCCATGTGTTCTCATTTATTGGGCACTGTATATGTTGTCTGCTCAGAGGGCACATGCACTGGCTGCCGGTGGAAGGGGCATCTAATTGGACACATCTGGGAACAGATTATTATCTTGGTGCCATGTAAATATATGAAGGATTGTATTGTGTTATTATAGGGTGCTGGAAACGGGGGGAGGGGGGGAGAGAGAGGTGCTGATGGCATCACAAAGGTCTAGATACACCAAGGAGTCTCCAATCCCACGGTACATGTAATGGGAATGGCTGAGCGCTGACACAGAGAAACGTTAATGCTTCTACATTATTCCCGTTACAGGTCCCTTTGACACTTTTGTTGTTTTTTTTTTTTCTTATTTTAGGGGTTAAAATTCGGTAATCTGCCCACACACCGCAGTCCTAATCTGATTTACCCATTGCTACATACAGAAATGTTCATTTATAGTGACGATGAAAGCAGCCAGCCTCCGTGTTATGTTGTGCGGTGTCATGTGATGTCTCATGGTTTGTGTTCTTGGCTCTTTCAGGGAGCAGGGCAGGGGGCATGAACCGCGAGGGGGCCCCCGGGAAGAGTCCGGAAGAGATGTACGTTCAGCAGAAAGTGCGGGTCCTGCTCATGCTGAGGAAGATGGGCTCTAATGTGAGTATTCCAGGGTTATGTTGTGGCAGCGTGTTAAAGAGAACCCGTCTGGACAAAAATGAGAGCAGTTGCTAACTTGTTTTTGTACGATGTTACTTCCAGGGCCATCATCCTGATCCTGGCCTCACGATTTGGCTAGTCCACTGACCTGGAACAGACATGCGCATATCGAGCGCTGGGTCAAGTGATGTGAACATATGTGGAGTTGTTCATTAAGGATAAGGTTGATGACTTTGTAGCTTGCAACTTCCAAAACAAGTCGGCAATAGAATCTCTCATATTTGTCTGGAGAGGTTTTATTGAATGGGTCACAAGGAATTGCCATTGCCATCGGCTTGCTCTGCCGGGTCCTGCTCTGCCTTTGGAAATTTCTGTTTGTTAAATGCAACTGAAAAGTACAAACGCCATGTGATGGAGATCTATTTAAGATTCTAATTGTACAATAAATTATGGCTTGTTGGAGATCTTACCACTGAAGTCTTTAAGATGCCAGCTGGTAACTTGTGCCAACAGTCTTTAAACCAGCTATATGAATTTTGGGTAATGTTAACATGTATGGGGGCCGCCTCTTCCACTGACCACCAATGTAGGGGGCCACACCTTCCACTGACCACCAATGTAGGGGGCCACCTCTCCCAGGGCCCAACATTGTAAGAGGATATCTCGCCCACTGAGCACCATTGTAAGGGGACCTCTCTCCCACTGACCACCATTGTAAGGGGACCTCTCTCCCACTGACCACCATTGTAAGGGGACCTCACTCCCACTGAGCACCATTGTAAGGGGACCTCTCTCCCTCTGACCACCATTGTAAGGGGACCTCTCTCCCTCTGACCACCATTGTAAGGGGACCTCTCTCCCTCTGAGAACCATTGTAAGGGGACCTCTCTCCCACTGACCACCATTGTAAGGGGACTTCTCTCCCACTGACCATCATTGTAAGGGGACCTCTCTCCCACTGACCACCATTGTAAGGGGACTTCTCTCCCACTGACCATCATTGTAAGGGGACCTCTCTCCCACTGACCACCATTGTAAGGGGAACTCTCTCCCACTGACCACCATTGTAAGGGGACCTCTCTCCCAGTGACCACCATTGTAAGGGGACCTCTCTCCCACTGACCACCATTGTAAGGGGACCTCTCTCCC